GGCATATTCCAGTTGTCTGGACTCCAAAATATACTGCCAAGCTTTGCATCATTGTTGAATTTGGCAACAACGCTGACCCTTATCTCATCTCTTTATGCAATGCTTCCCTGGTGAATTACTTTGCATTCCTCCTGCCCCTTTGTGTTTGTTTAGTACTTGTTTACACTGCATATCCAGTTCTTATAAGGCATATCTGATGGTTCCCCCATCCAGCTTGCTGACCAGTTCAATACCCATAAAGCTTTGGTAAAGCTGTGGCCCCTATTATCATCAGGTTGTTCACTCGACCCTCCCTCTTCATGTCTGCTTGTAAGCAGATTTGAATCCATTTGTGTTAAAGTAATATATGCATAATGGTACCTGCCGCTGATTTATAGTGATGATAGTGATGCTGCTGGCAAGATCAAGTTCAGGTTTGGCTCGTACCTCACTCCACATGGCTTCCCTTTGTATGAGAATACTACACATCTAGTTTCCAAAGCATATTTCTTCTGTCAAGTTGAGGACAAGGCTAATGACAGTCTGTAGCTGGCATAAAGAGCAGCAAGATCAGAGTCCCCTATTTTACATGCTAGCAAACAAGCCTGTCCTGAAAGCTTCTGTAGTGGACCAGGAACCACAATGTGAACCATTTTACCAGTTTGTGAAAGCAGATTTTCTTGGCTGTTATGGATGATCCCTAGATTCTTGGACAAATCGCTGTCTAACACATCCAGGTAGAAAGCCAATCATGGGCATGAGTCCTGACAGTTATGATGTATGTGAGAGTGAAAGTGCATGTAGGTGTGGGCATGCATGTATATATGCATCCTGATGATTCAAATTTAAATCTAGAAATGCAGACAGCAGTGAAGAATGAGCAGCAGGGGCAGATTGTTAGTTCATATTTATTTTAGTAATGATTTAAACTCTACATGTCTTGGCCTAATGGACTGTCTTCTTTCTCCTGCTGCACTTTCGACAAATAGAGGCACTTGACATTGGAGTCACCTTCATTTAATAAAGAAGAAATGGTGGCTATATTTTCAGCGAAGGGTCTTTAACTGCACAGTGCATTTCTGTCATAGTAAGCAATAATGGATTGTTGACTTTCAGATCATGCTGGACGGCAAGCTCTTTTGCTTGGACATTGGCAGAAGATATATTGGAGCTGAAGTGATTGTTTATGGAGTATGAAATCTTGATGGGTAATATATACTGTGGTCTGGATTGAGTTTAAATTGTGGTTTTACAGAAGCTTTTTTTTTAAAAAAAAAAAAAGCTTGCTACTTTGGTATGTGTCTTTCCCCCTGTTCTATTGCTGTTTTCATCAACTTAAAAGGGTGTCCAAAAGCTTCAGATGAATGAATTTTATGCAATGTACACCAGGAGTACAAAATAAAAACAAATGCATACATAAAGATGACATCTTGTAGAAAATATTCCATTTAGGCCCTAATAAATATTTCTTCCAGGGTTGAGTGCAAAAGAAATGCACTCTGATTAATGTGTTCAAAACATTTAAGTGGGGAAGAGTAGATGGTACAAAATAAACAAGTTTGAGACCCCTCTAAATACTGGAAATAGATCTTTAGACTTGCAAAGCAGAGTGCAAACAGCCCAGCTCCCCCACCTCCCTGCCCTTTAAGTCATGAAGTAGTCAGGAGCTAGAGCAACAGAATTTCCATTCTGTTCTGTACTCAGCTGAATTTATTCATTATATAAAATACTTAGTTAAAAATGTTGTGTTGTTCACTGGTGTGCTTGGCATGTAGAATGTTGAAGATTCAAACTTAGCCTATACAGCTGAAGAACCTCAATAAGGCCTCTGTCATACCCTCTAACATTTATCTGATGAATACAGGGACATCAATAATAATAATAATACCCCATCTGTGTTGCCCCAGCAACTCTGGGTGGCTTCCAACATATATATATATGCCCCTGGGTAAGATACCTGCCAAAGTTTAGAGAATAACAGATCTAGGGACCCATTTTACATTTTACATTTATTTATAAAAGTAGAAAATCACATTCTTTCTTCATCCCCCTTCCTGAAAGTACACTTCAGGAAAAAAGAGAGGGTTGTGCTTTTAAAACGTTTGGTTGTTATTTGGGTGGGTGGGTGGGTAGGTAGTTGGATCAGAAAAGAAGAAGGTCACCCCAACAGTCTAACTCTGATGCTTATCCCCTACTCTCACAGACATAATTTGAAGAATGATGACTGACCCATGTAAATAACAACTCCACATCCCTGCCTCCAAATTGCTCTGACTGGAAGGACTTCAGAAAACAATTCATTATGACTGAAAGCTTGACCTGTTGAGGTCCGCTTCAGCTGCCAAAATGGCTTTGCCTGGTCCTGACCCCCAACCCTTTCTACATGTGCCAGAGCATTCCCTACTCATTCCTTACTCAATCTGGCAGTAGATGTAAAGGCCCCTCCCAAAATAATCATTTTGGGCCAAGTTGTTGGAATGAGCCTCTGTTTGCTTTGCTGCAATTAGCACAACTACCTGTCTAAAATTAGTCACAAAGTAGTATGTCATAACATTGCCAGATTCCCCAATGATTTGTACGTACATATGAATGGATATTCAGCCTCTGCTTTAGTTTGAACAAAGTTTTCAAAATTGGGGGGAAGCATTAGGTTTCCTTTTTGCAGACTCATTAAGTGATTTCTATAGCTGGCAGATAACAGATAGATCAGACCAACCCCAAAGTCATACAGTTAGTTTTTAAGTTATTGCTGAAGATTGAGGTTAATTTACCTAAGAGAGTCTCTGTTCGTTTTGATATATATCTGGAAAGCACTTAGCCTCATCTGAGGTTGCAATAAAAGCCAATAAATTTAAAGACCATTTATGATTTTTAGACGTAGAATAGTGGTGAGAGCTAAAATCAGAGCATAGGAAGAGCTCAGCTGGATCTGAGCGAGGGAACTTCTAGTCTATCCTTTGACAACCTAGTGCCCTCCAGATGTTTTGGACTACATCTCCCATCAGCTCCAAAAGTAGCAGGCATTGATTTCCCCCCCTCTTTTGGAGGCAACGGGGAAGGCCCTCCGGGGAAGGGAACCGAAAGCAAAGCAGAGCCCTCCACCTGCTGCCCTATGTAACAGGCATTGATGGTGGCTCCTCTAATCCAATATCACACCAACAGTGCTCACGCAATATTTCAGCAGTGGTCAGCCAGATGTTTCTGGGAAGTGTACAGGCAGAGCATGAAGTCACCAGCCCTCCCCTGCTTTATGTTTCCACCACTATATATATCAACTCTGCACATGTTGATTCCATGCAGATATTGGGACTAGTTGTGGTATACCTGTCCACCATACATTCATTTAATTTAAAACAACCAAACATATACATCCAACATAGTGGCCTATGTACCACATCCTATAGCACAGTTTTCCCGACATTCACATTTTCTATTGTCAGTTTCATCCTACTGCTGATCAGCTTCTTTGGGTCATTCAGTTTCTTTGAGTTCTATTATAGGACAAAGAGAGAAAAATCAATTTCTATTGTATCTTTCCATACCATTAATAAAGCTCCAATATATCTTAGGGTCCATCCACACTTTCATTTGTCCCATGAATTCAAGTCACTGGTACAAGAGGTGCGGGGAAAACCTGCTGTCTACTGCTGAATTAGAACAAACATCAATCAGGTTTTCTGCAGATTGACATTTTATTCCGATTCAGCAGTAAAAAGTGGGTTTTTCTGGGGGGAAATGGCAGGGCCAAAGAAAAGCCATGTTACAAACAGAAGTGTGGATGGACTCTTAGTCATTCCCTCCCCACAAAGAAGCATAAAATGGTTTAGATTTTTCATAAGACAAGAGTTTTGGCTCAAAATAATTTTAGTTGCTTTTGTACAAGGTTTTTTGAGCAGTTACCAAAACTTTGTATAGTGTTCCAAATGTGGAATTATGAAAAGAGATAGATGAATGTGTCAATTTCAGTTTGCCTTGGCTTCTCAGTATTCCGACTCTAAATTCATTTATCTATAATTTGGCAGGGTTTGTAATTTTAATTTTTTTAAAAATCCCCATGAAAATATGTCAGAATTTTAGTTCAAATTCTCACAATATACATTTTTGCAAGCAATTCTCCCTATGACAATGGACATTTTTATTTATTTTCACAAATATAACACATTTTTATGCACACTTTCCTGGTAATATATGCATTTTTTTCTGGATGAACACATAATCAGATGGTGAACCACTTCAGTAGGATCTCTCGAGACAAGCTGGAACACATAACAAGATTGAAAATGAGACTCAATGTGTGTGTCAGGTGTGGGGCAGGAAGAAAGGAGGTGCGAAGCACAAGGAGTCTTGTTTAAAAAACAAAAGCAACAACACTTTGTGCATCCACATCTAATATTGCCCCTTTCTAAAAATTATTTATTGGTGTGCCCTTTTCTTTTTGTAAATAAATAATAATAAAACCGGCCCTAAGGTGGCACTCACCCTTCTTATAGGAAATCGGGGATCGGGGGGTCAAGTTGGGGGAGAGTGAGAAATGACCTATTTTAATCCGAGGAATGTTGGAGGATATGGAAATCACCATCCATCAGTTGATGGGCAGTGATTTCAAACATGTGGGTCGGTGGCACTTCAAAGCACCTGTAGAAATCTTTACAAACACTGTGTGGTGTGTTGAAGTCCCAAGGATCATCACCTGGTGCCATTGCGCTGTCAGGGGATTGACAGGTGAGTGGCACAACCTACTTCCCAAATGCAGCCCAGAGGGATAGGAGAAATAGCAATGTCGCCCACTGGCTAGAGCAGTTTCCCCACTCTTCACCTAAATAAATAATGGTTTAAGAATAGCTTAACTTGGAATTTGAGCCAAGCCATTGTCTTAATCACCTGCTTGCATGCTTCTTAGGGCATCTTGCTGTCCAGAGTTGAAGATAGACTATTGGATGAGATGGATCCTTGGTTTGATGCAGCAGAACTTTTCTTATGATGTTTTAGTTTGTTTTGTGTTCACAAACACTCTGATTTCTGAAACTCTTTATATTAACCAGCATATTAATAGCTTTACTAGAACTCTCATGCGCCACATTTATCACATTTGAGGCATGATCTTAAAAATTCCTCAGGTAGAAATATGATTTGTTCTTTGTTGCCTGCACTTTTTGCTAACCTCTCATTATTTATAAAATACTACAGGGTCTCTCTTTCCCTCTCTCTCTCTCCCTCTCCCCCCCCCTCTCTCTCTCTGTATTGATCTATCATTTGAAAATGTCAGAATATGATGCATGATCTGAGACAAATATATCACCAAACACCCTTGTGTTACCACCAAACCTCTCTAATTTATCAGGTGTATGGACTATAGAACATAGGGAAAGAGGAAAAATCATATCTATTCTGTTGTTGTTTTTTAAATCATTTTTCTGTTTTTCTTTTTTTTCCCCATATTGGTTGACACACACACATATATAAAGGGAGAGTGAATGCCCCATCACATGTATTGTCTGTCAGCTTTGCTCAGCTGGATTGGACTGGGTTTGCAGTTAGATGTCCTGGAGAGTTAATCACATGACAAACATATAATCTCATCCTGGGGTGCATTCCGATGAGGGGAATATTGTGCTAGCTTTCCTGATTATAATACTAGTGCTGTCCTGTTTTCGCTAATGTTCCTTTCACTCTTCAATACCTGTAGTGCTATGGAACTGAGGCTTTTTGACCAATATACTAGCATGTCACATTGCATTTCTTTCATGTTTATTGTTATTATATATAGATAGTAGAATATCTCACAGCGAATGGATGACATTGTGATGCTTGGTTGCAGGGTGACATCACTGAGGGCAATTGAGGGTGCGGGCAATTTAAATAAACAAGCAAGCCATTTTCAATGATTACCCTAAAAATTAAGAAAAGAAGGGGAGGTGTGTCTGGCATTGCTAAAAAAGACTTGCAGAACACATTGCAGCTTCAGTTTAGCTGTAATGAAAATATTATCTATACAGTGTAATTATCTTAATTGTTTTTGCTTTCTTGGGAAGAAACAATACATTAAAATCCAGACATCTTAACACTGCAGCACAGCAGTGTTAGTAAACTTCGGTGTACACATTTTATATTTTCATCCCTCCTCCACCCAGTGCAACTGGATTAACTTCTCTTTTTCTAACTTCATATTTGGTTTTTCAATAAGCTGCCAAATCGGGCTAAATTGGCAGTAGTTATTGCTAATTCTCTCTCTTAAATCCCCCGACATCATCCCTTACTCACTTTAATAAAAGTTGTGAAACATGAGCTGTAAATTTTGTGTCAGAATCTCATATTTGAAATTAACCGCCTTTGGGCAAATAGCAGAAGTAAAATGATATTTTGCAATGTTGTATATTAAATAAACTTGCTTTTGGTTCTACGGGAAGGAGCGCTTTTGGAGAAATTTGCTGCCAAAGATGCTTATGATTGATAAAATAGGATGTGCTTTGATGTAGTGAGCAGCTTCCAAACATGAAAAAGTGTTGTAAGAATGTGTGTGTGTTTAGGTATTTCCTGCCTTAATAATAGTCAGTGTAAAGAACAAGGACTCCAAGTTAAGTTTTTGTTGAGAAAAACAGCTACTGGATTAATTTATTTTTATGATTGTGTGCAAGGTATTACTTCAGGCATGCCCAAGGGCTCCTAATAGCCCAAAAGCTTTTAAGCACCCTGTGGGATTTTTGACTCTCTCTTTGAAGTGGGTGAAAGATGGGAATGAGTGTGCAGAAGCCTCCAACTTTTGTGTGGCTGAAATGTACAAAGGAAAGTTGCACATCTGTTGTCAGGCCTCTGGAGACATGTTGACAGACTGGTGAGAGGGTCAGGAGGAATGGGAAGACAGTGAAGTGCCTGATCCTGGGAGGGATCTCCAGGGAGAGGCTAAGCAGGTTGTTGGAAGAAAACCCTGCTTCAGTACCATTGGACATCTTGAGCCTCAAGGGAGTGTTGCGTGACTTAGACTCTGCTCTGCCTCCTGCCAGTGAAGCGATTCCCACCCTCAGAGAGGCACAGGAGCCTGAACCGGATATTATACAGACACTGTTGACCCTGCCTCTGTCTCGAGGGATAGGATGTGACTTGGGTCGGATAAGCAGACCCAGCCCACCTTTAGAAGTTCTCATCTTGCATGCCTAGGCCTCTGGTTTTGGGACAAAACCCACACAAATAAGTGTGCCTGCCCGGCTTTTCAAAAAGGGGAGCTCAGAGTGAGTGTCAAGTGTTGGGGCAATGACTTAGCTTATGCCTAGCCAAGAACTTTAGAGCTCTGTTTTAACCACTGGTGTGTGTACCTTATAACCTGATCTGTGTTTGTGTGTTGTGGTGAATTCTGGAAGAAAGCTTTTGCAAATAATTTTGCCGAGAGTCTAAATACTGTTTCCATGACGGAACCAGGGCAACAATTATTGGACTGCCCACTTTTGTCTTTGACCACATCCATTTTTCCTCCAGTTACACTGATCAGTAGTATGTTGTCTTCAGGAGATTCCTCATGAAGGAATGTGGGTTCCATACCCCTACCTGTTTCCCTTCCCATTTCTCAGCTTCTTAGTCTTGCTCACCTTCTTTCTTTCTTAAACACAACTTTGGTCACATCCACACCATATATTTGAAGCACATGAAATGACCATTTAAAACACATGACTTCTCTCAATCTTCAAGCCTCATCCTCTCCAGATTAGGGCTGCGGAAGACTGGGGAAGATTAAATATGTAAATTATGTATGTTACAAAAGAAATAATGTAGTTTTTGTTGGAAGAGGAACTATAGTAAAATGGAAACAGTGCTGCATGTGATGAGAACAGAGTAGAATGGAAAACTATACCTTCTTACACCCCTACTGACCCACACTGGTTCCAATTTATGGGGAAAGACAGCTGGAAGAGTAGTGGCAGCATATCCAAGGAATAGTTCCATTTTTATCATTGCCACAGTGTAGGAGGCAATATAGCAGATTTCAGGGATTTCAGCAGGCACTTTCTTTCTAGGTAAAATAACCCAGTGGTGAGCCACAAAAATCAGCAACCCAGAACTGGCACTCAACAGAGTGAGGAAGAATATAAAGAAACATTGGAAATGAAAGTTGTGCAGGAATTAGATATGCAGAAATGAGAGCCCAAGAATCATCAGAGTCCTGGCCCTCCTAATATAGGAGCAAGAGATTCATCAATCCTCCTTTGTTGTAAGAAGTAGGATTGGGGCTTTCAAGGTACTCAGGCTTTGACTGCTCCTTCCTTCCTTTGGGTCAAAGAAGAGGGAGATCTTTATATGTGCATTCATAGGTCTATGTGTGTAATTAGATATCCTGCTTTTTGCAGTGGTTCCAATCATGGAGAGAGAGGCTATGCATGTATCACTTGTATTTGTATAGATTCTACGGATATTTATGGAAGAACATGTAGTTGGGACAATGTTTGTGGTCTTGATTCTCCTCCCCTCCACCCCTAGATGTGGTCCCTTAACATCTAAAAAAGGATCACTGGAAATGTGAACTCAATCCTTTGACAAAACTGTGTCTGGGGTGAGATGAAAGTTCTGTCATACATCTGACTTGCCATACAAACATTGAAGTCCACCACTTGATGTTGCAGCCAATGAGTGGTGAACATACCTGTCCCTGACCCCAACTATTACTTCTGTCTGCCAAATAACTTTTCTTACAACTGTTCATTTGTACAGTATGTTATCCTGTGGTGTCTGGCAGGGCCGGCCCACCCATGAAGCAAGGTGAGGTGCCCACCTCAGGTAGCAGGACCCACAAAGGCAGCAGATCCAGCCTCAAAGGAATGCAATGCCTGCTGCTGCTGTTTCACACTCTTTTGAGGCCAGATCTTCCACCTCCTCAGCAGCTCCCTACCATGCCACCTCTACTGCAGTCTCTTGGCAAATAGAAGGTGCTGCTGGTCTCCTGCCACCCCCAGGAAGGAAATGGTGGGGGCTGCCCTCTGGGGGCTTCTGGGGTCTGCATCCACCCATGATTCAGAGCCCCCCCCCCCCGCAGCAACCTTTGATTCCCACTTCAATAATTGGGTAACATTGATTTTATTCCCTTCCTTGTTCCCAATGTAGATCTTCACTCCCCCTTGTTTCTGATGTAGGTTTTCACTCCCCACTTTCCCCCTGGTTTTCATCAGGTGCATAAATGTTTTGGGCAAGCCCTGGTAGCTGGTAATAGGGCAGAAGACAAGGAGGAGGTGGTGGAGCTTGAGCCAATGACAGGCAGAGTCAACTAACTCGAATTGTGTCCCCATCCTTCTCCCTACCAAATTGTACAAGGGCAGCACTGAGGCTAAGGAGGAGGAAACTGACAGTCTGTGCTAACCTCTGGAGCAGATGTAAGCAAGGAGAGAGGCAGGTAGGGGCTGGCTAAGGGCAGACTGAGGTTGGTGGAACAGTGCCCTGTTCACCCAGCCTCCAGTGATCATAGCTATGTCAAACTGCAAGCAGAGAGTAATTTCCTTTGAACTTTGTAACCTTTTCTATTTTCTCTTTTACATTTTATGAATAACCAGTAAATATCTGATTTAGAAATAAGTGCTCTCGGCATATCAAGCTGCAGTTTGCAATGGAGCAGTTAAAAAAAAAAAAAACTTTGTTAGAGGAATAAGTTTGTTGAAAAAAGAACCTTATCTGCTCACAAATGTATGCTTTTAGCTGGTTTCCATTGTCATACTGAAATACTTTCATAATCCTTTCAATTACTTTTGAGATTGTTGAGGAATCCTTGGGAGATTATATAGAAACACCTGTACTAAAGAAATAGTTTATCTACACTGTAGCATGCTATTAAAATCTTTCATGAGTCTGGATGTAATACTTTACAAATAACTATCAAATACTTTCAATTTCCTTTTGCACAGCTCCAAAATCTCTTTGGAATGAAGAAGTATTTTTAAAAAGAATTTATTCCCTACAGTTTCCCAATCTTCCAATCTGTAAAAAAAAGTATGTCTTGGCAAAGATTAGAATATCTTTACAAAATACTTTGAAATGATTTGGAAACTGCAAACACAGCTGCTGAAGTGTCACAAAAATGGCTAGGAGCTTAAAGTAGGGAGATTACGGTGTTTGTTGCCTGCAAAGCCTCATTTTCCTTTCTCCTTGTGACTTCCACAGGATCATTAAAAAATAAAAAATAAAGACAGGAAGACCCCATTACTTCATTATATGTAAGAATAAATGTATCAGACTTTGTTGCTGGAACTATCACTCTATACCTAGGAAGCTCAAGTTCATAAGAAGGTCCTTGCTGGATCTGATGAATGACCTATTTAGTGCAGTATTCTGCTACCACAATGGTCAGCCATTAGCCTTTGGGTAGCCCACAAGCAGACCACTACTGAGAGGCAGAGATGGTCTGGATGTGGACCAATAAATTGAAGCTGAATCCTAAAACAACAGAGGTGCTCTTTGTCCAAAGTTCTCAAATCTAGGGTGTGTGGAGGTGGCCTGCCCTGGACTGGTTTGCACTCCCCTGGAAGGAACTGGTTCCATGGGAATGCTCCTGGATTCAATAATGACAATGGAGCCCTGGCAGCCTCTCTAGCTCAGAGTTCCTTTTGCAAGCAATGGCCATATTTTGACAGACCTCGCCACTGTAACTCTGTGCTCTAATAACTTCCAGACTGGATTAATGTAATGTAATCTACATAGAGCTATAACTTAGAAATTTCGCAACAGCGAGATTACAGTGGAACCTCGGGTTGGAACCTCATAATCCATGCACATCTGCAACCCGCAGCATTCGTAACCTGCAGTGCCACGTCTGCACATGCGCGGGATGCAATTTGGTGCTTCTGCATATGCGTGAGCGGTGAAACCCGGAAGTAACCATTTCCGGTACTTCTGGGTTTCCCGCGGTACGCAACCTGAAAACGTGTAACCCGAAGTGTCTGTAACCCAGGGTACCACTGTACTGGCTGCAGTTCCATTTAGATCTCACGTAACCCTTGTTTTAAAACAAGGATTGGTTGTTTTGGTTGCCAGCTTGTTTTGAGGCCCAATTCAAGGTGTTCATGCTAGTGTTTTATTATTTTACTTGTTTTCTCGACTTAGCCCCCAAATTTCTGTGTGGCTGCTTCCTTCCCTACAGACCCTCTTGAGTGTTGAGATCAACAGAGGGGGCCCTCCTGATAATTCCAGTGCCCTCAGAAGCTCTAGTTGGAAGTGGCACAAGAGAGGGCATTTTCTATGTCAGCCTTCACACAGAGCTGTATCTATAATGTGCTCAAAATACATACCTTTACTTTAGCCTTTGATAGTTGAGAGATGTGTTTTTAGGATCTGCCCTCTTCTTGTGATCATGTTACCCTGACAGCAGGTTAGGTGGGGAGGAAAAACAGAGGCGTGTGGCCATTGAAAGGCCCAGCCCACTAGAAGCTGCAGTGGTGAGATGGGGCACGAAGAAGAGAAAGACTTTCTCCTTGCCAGCCGTGGAATTTCTTCCCAAGGCCCTGTTCCTCCTATTGCAAACCTCACCTCACCCTTCCTCACCCTTCCTCACCCTTGTCCTCCTCCAGATTCTTGGAGTGCAGTGGGCTGTAAACATGTGTGTGCAGATCTTTCCATAACCCTCTGGGGTAGTGCTGATCTCCAGCAGTGGACTGGAGACGAGTGCTCAAAGGCTGCCTGGTGGCAGTGCTGTTGCAGCTGAGGCCAGGGGTCAGGTGTTGGGAGCCGCTGCAGCTGGTCTTCACCTTGGTGGCAGTGGGGAATAGGGAGGCTGCCGGGCTTTGGGAATTGCAGCATCCTGCAAAGCCAAGCCAAGCCAGGTGAGGACAAGCAGGGGGATCAGGTTACAGCAGTGGCCTGGTGTTCTCTGTGGCTGTGGGTGGGGCACATTATGAGGTGGGACAAGTTCAGCTAGGTGACTCTGGCTGGGTCTCGAGGCACCGGAGAGCTGCCAGCACTAGCAAGAGTCTGCTAGCAATGACAGCAGCTGCTATGGTTAGTCATGCATGAGGGGATGGGGACACCACACAAATTGTTGTGCTCCTGAGGGCCCTCCACCTGATTTGGGAGGAGCAAGGATGAGCTGGAGCTATCCTGTTGGGGAGAACAGTAAGGTTCTGCTTTACAAGGAACTGGGGGTAGAGAGTATGGACTGAATCAGCCTCCCTTCCCCCCCAGCCAGCCACTGATTGCTGCCCATCAGGGTCTCTGCTGCTACCCCCCCTCCACCCTTGCATGCCATTCCCTAGGGCAGAGTGAGACACCACTTCTCAGTGTTTTCAAAGAGTTGGGAGGGCAGGATTCTGCTCCCAGGACCACCTGATTGAGATTAAGCAAAGCTTGGAGTCACACCTGGCTGCTGAGGGCCCACAAGGCAAATTTCCTTCTCTTGGTGGTTACAGTGGAGGGCAGGGGGTTGGTGGTGCAGTACAGATATTTGTCCCCTTTGGGAAAATGGGTAGATCCAACACTTTCTGAGTGGCCACTATGGGAAATGTGCTGCTGAACTAGAGAGGCCCTTAGCTAGATACTGCAGGGCTTTTCTTCCGCTCTTACATTCTAAAGTTGGATGAGCTCGCCACTCAAGACAGAAACATTAAGCAAAGCATATGCAACAGATCCAGTTATAGAACTCCTGAAATAGAACATTAAGTAATTTGGAAGTAATGCAGTGAACTATCGTGGGAGAACAACCTTTGCTAAATGTGATTGCCTGTCAAAATATTGTTCCTGGCTCTGGGTTCTAATATTCTTGACAACTTCTTTCAAATTTGTGATTTACATTTCAGGTTTCTGGTGGTTAGAAACTAGCATTAACCCAAAAAAAGGTGTGAAAAACTTATTGTGAAGAAGAGTGAGTGGTGTTTAGAGTGGAAAATTTGTCTAGATGCAGAGAAGACGAAAATATTCAGACTTCTATTAATGAGAGAGGGAAAGGGGGAGAGAGACACCCTCGTGGGGGGGGGGAGAGATTTGCCAGCTTGCACCTAAACTGGTACCCTCCAGATGTTTTGAACTCCTAGCCACCATGACCATGCTTTAACAGTGCTACATATATTCAAGAGGGGCACAATCTCCCTTTAGTGACACAAATTCAAGCTTTCATCAAGAGGCTTATCCACACTTACATTTGCCCCACTCTTTCCAGGCATGGTATGCACTTTAAAGCTCCATCTCTGAGCAATCTTTTTGTCTCAGAGCTATCCCTGTGAAAAACCCCTCTTTAAAGCAGAAGTGCAAGAAACAACAATTCAGGTTTTCTACGAATTGCCAGTTGCTCTGGTTCAGCTTTAAAGAGTCGGTTTTCGTGGGGTATGCTCCGGAGCACTTCAAAGCATGAACTGTACCTGGGAAGTATGGAGGAAATGTAACAGTGGAGAAGCCCTGAGTTTTGAAAAGCACCTCTGACAAGGGATGGCAACTCATTCAAGAATGATGAGGGTTAAAAGGCAGCTCAAGGTTCCTGTCAGCAGAGACTGCACTTTGAAACTGGCATTTTTATCCTCTTTTCCTGTAGGGAAGTTCCAAGGAGATTCTTAAGAGGATGAGGCCAAAAAAAAAGGGGGGGGTCATATTTGGCAAAGGAAGAACTTTTAAGAAACAGGATGATAGACTTGGGCAGAGCTCAAATGCCCCTCAAGGCTTTGGTTTTTATGGGGTGGGGGGCAGGGAGATAAGTGGCTCAAGATATGAGGAGAAGGACAGTAGAGACCCTACCCCTTTTTTACAGAAACTAACAGGACCAGCAGTTGAGTCTTACTTAACGCTGACAATGAGATGGTATTCTCTTTCACAGGCTAGCAGGGTAGTTTATTTGGTGCAGGGCATACATCATTGTCTTCCAACACCTCACCACTAGTTCTGTTACCTTAAGCAGCCACTTCTCTTTGTCTAATAGTAGGGTTATTCCTCAGTATTATCCAAATTTAAGCCAGTAGCATGTCTCAAACCAGAGGCCTAAGAGTTGCAAGGGGGGAATTCAGTCTGAACACCACCACACAGCTCTTGCAAAATAAAGGAATTTCAGAGAGTCAAACTAAACCTGCAAGGAACCTGCAAGGAACTGCAGTAGACTGGAGGCTGCTGCTACCTGATTCCTATAAAGGTGCCCATCTTATACAGGCCAATGCTTGCAAATTGAATGACATTTTGAAAGGAGGATGGGAAGTGGGGATGGTTGTTAGGAAACAAGAAGTCAGTAACAACCTGGCAATTTTAGATAGCTGTGCTTCCTGTGCTTGTATCTAAAATAATGCTATGAGATTGCTATATGATTGCTGCTGCAGAAGAGTCTGGAGTTTGGACAGAAGATGTTAATGGGTTGATAATGATTGTGTAAAGTTCCTTAAGGGTTAATAGATCAAGTTAATGGGCACATGTTTTGTTAGGGAAACCACAGGTAAATGTCCAGGTGAGGTAGTTGGACATCCTCTCATCCTAACTCCCCCCCCCAAAAAAAACCAGATGGAAAGGAGCAACCCAAGTGTGTCTGAGGGAAACAATAGAGACTAACATTTTTGAATGGTGTTAAGGAGGGCTAAGTTTGTGCTATGGAAAATGTGGGGCAGTGGATTTGATGTTCAAGCCAAGGGTAGTCAACATTTTGTAGGCCTGTGGAAACATTTGTATTGTTGAGCAAGTGCTATGGGGCACTACCCACTCTGGTCACATTTCTTCCCCTCCCTCAGATCTTTCCCCACCCCCCACCCCTCTGGGAGTCAGAACAGGAGAAAAACTTCACATAGATACTTTGCTTTTCCCAGAGATCTGGTTAGAAGTCTGATCCAGTAGAATTAATCTGAGCCTTGAAAAGCACATAGAGCTGAAAGGGAAATGGAAAAAGCACCGTTCTTCC